CTATTCTTTACGACCCCATGGATTGTAGCCTGCTGGGCTCTCCGTCCATGGGGTTCTCCAGGCAAGAACACTGGAGTGGGTAGCTGCTCCCTTCTCCAGGGGGTCTTCTCCACCCAGGGATCGAACCCAGGTCTCCCGCACTGCAGGCAGACTCTTTACCATCTGAGACACCAGGCGTTCCTAGGCACAGCCATAGGCTTCCAGTAAATGTTGACCATTAAACGTGGAGAACAGTGATGAGATTTCTCCATCACGATAATGACGATGAGATGTCAAAGGCAGGAGGGGAGGGATGAATTTCTAAGTCCATACGTGTCCGTTTCCAGACCGACTGCTCTAGAAGAGGGTCGGCAAACTGGACGGGAGCAAGTCAGGCTGTTGGCTGTCTTTGTAAATGCGGTTTTGTGGGGACAGGGGCACGCTCGTTCATTTAGGTGTGCATACATCTGCTCTCTCACTACACCCAAGGTGGGTAGTTACCTGTACAACTTGACTCTTTACTATTTGGCCCTATGCCAAAAAACTTTGCCAACCTCTGTTCTAGAATAAAGTTTGCATACAGGTTCACTGTAATAATAGCTGTGGTTATCTTTATGTGCCAGGGTTACAGAGGAGCTTTATATGCATCTTAATTTTTTAAGACTTATTTTCTTAATATTCCGCACTACTTATATTTTCTACGAAGAACATATATTATTTTTATAATCAGTAAAACGATAAAAGTTATTAAAAACCAGATTGAGTGCCCCTCTAATTCTTTTCTAGTTTTTAATTTCTAAGTGTTTTATACTTTTTTCAGGGAAAAACTTGTTAATCAGAGCAATTTTCCTTTGGTGCTTTGGAGAACGTAGGAAGAGAGCCCTAAAATCTACAGAAGAAATCTCGGTTTCCCTCATTTCCTACTCCAGTGGGACAATGTCTTTCTGTTATTTTATGAGTCTGGCTTGTGATTCAGAGTTCAGAAAATCAAGCTGAACACTTCTGTGAAGCTTGGATTGCAGTAAGTGTATCCTGTCACATACTGACTGTGTCCATGGTCAGTATCGTCATGAGGACACCAGTTACTATCTGGGCTTCCCCGGTGGCTCAGTTGGCAAAGAATCCGCCTGCAATGCAGGGACTGGGGTTTGATCCTTGGGCTGGGAGGATCCCCTGGAGAAGAAACTGGCAACCTACTCCAGTATTCTTACCTGGGAAATCCCCTGGTGGGCTATAGTCCATGGGATCATAGAGTCAGATACGACTTAACAACTAAATCACCACTACTGGCTACTATCTAGTAGTATTCTGGTTGGGACTTATTTTCTACATTTTAGTAACAATTATTAATATTAAGTAAAACTACAAAACATAGACACAACTCTTTTTTGTTTGTTTTTGGTATGTTGTTTGTGGTTGTCCTTTTTACTTATTTTTTTCTCTATTGAGATACAACTCTTAATAATGATTGCAGATTTTTTTTAAAAAGTGTTAGCAAATGACTTTAATTAAAAAGAAAATGCATAACCCAGATCTTCATATATCTGGTGAAAAAACCAGGTTCAGTTTCTCAGATATCACTCTTCTTCCTCTTGCTTTCTCTTCAAGAACTTTCAAAATAATTGAAGTAAATTATTATTGTGGAAATTTTCTGCTTATAGTTTTTCACTAGATGTAAGCTCTGTGAAGACAGGAATGATAGTATTGTTCATGACTGTGTCCTGGCATTGAGAACTACAAGAAGCAGAGAGAAAGTGCTGATAATAAATCTTTCTTGAAGGGATGACTATAAAAGAAGTAGATACAAAAAAACATGTCCCCCAGGAAAGTGGTCTTTTGCTAAACAGTTTTGTTGATTATAAGAAAGGCGCACATTTTAAAAACAATTAGAAAATTAAGAAAAGTAGAAAAAAGGACAAAAACTCACTCTGTTTTCTCAAAGTTAAAACTATCATTATTTTGTTGCGTTGCTTTCATTTCTTTTCCCTATGCATAATTTTTAATGCAAAGTTAACCAGGTAATGGTTTTATGCACATGTGTGTGTGTGCAGCTGGCTCTTTGTGACCCCCATGGACTGCAGCCCACAAGGCTCCTCTGTTCTTGGAATTTTCCAGGTAAGAATATTGGAATAGGTCGCCATTTCCGACTCCGGGGCTCTTCCTGACCCAGAGATGGAACCCGTGTCTCTTGAATCTCTGCACCTCCTGCACTGATGGCGGGTTCTTTACCTCTGCACCACCTGGGAAGCCCTATATATACACGTAGGAAAGGGAAGCCCGTTTATATACGTACGTCTACACGCGGGCTTCTCTGAGAGCTCAGTTGGTAAGGAATCCGCCTGCAATGCAGGAGATCCCAGTTTGATTCTTGGGTCGGGAAGATACACTGGAGAAGGGATAGGCTATCCACTCCAGTATTCCTGGGCTTCCCTTGTGGCTCAGCTGGTAAAGAATCCATTGAATGTATATTCATATATATATATATATAAGTATGAATGTACATATGAATCTATATTCATACATACATATAAAATATATAATATATACAAACAAATAAATTATATATAGTCTTCCTTTTAAAATTAATCTTACACTGTAAAAATTTTCCATGCAATTTCAAGTTCTTTATAAACATTCATTTTAATGATTAGATAATAAATTGAGTGGAATTGCATCCTTTACTTAATAATTTCCACTTTCTTTTCTTTTGCACTATTAACAATGCTGTCATCCCTTTGTGCATTTAGACATTTTTCATAGAAAGCACATAATAGGTGGTATATTAGCCCAGAGAAACTCAGATATGTCTCAGTAACAAACCCCCCCAATCTCTGTGCTTACAACAACAGTGGTTTATTTCTTGCTCACACTATAAATCCACTATAAAAATGGGAATTTAAAAAAATCATAAAAATGTAGTTCCCTTCAATTCAACAAATATTTGTTGAGTGCCTGTTTTCATAAGGCCCACTGCTGGCTTTGAATAGAGATGAAAAGATTTTCTGATGAGTCACAGATAAATGAAAGCTGAGAACTCTATTTTCATAACATGCTGCACAACAGCAGAAAACGAAAATCAATGAAGGTGAAAGATCATTTTTCTAGCCTAGTCATTTGTATGCCACATCTATATTGTTTTAGATATGAGTTTCTTTTTCTGTCTGCCTCTTAAAAACTCTCCTTTGTGTATAAAGGTCAGCCTGGTGCAGCCTTATGCCTCCCGCTCAAGCAGATTTGCTGCCAGCCATGACGATCCCCAGCCTTGGGTTTTGCAACACCTTCATGCTCCCATGACCTCAAAAGCTGTTGTGAAATTTTCCAAACAACACTCATTTTAATTTACCAAAAGTAATAATGTAAAATTCAAAAGGCTGTTTACACTAATAGTCTGAATCCTAGAAACTGTCCTAAGAAAATATCCCTCCAAGGGAAGAAATGATATACATATGAAGATCTTTATTGTAGATGTTTATTATTACAGCAATAACAACAGGTAAATTATGAGATACTAGATTGAATCTCATGAATCCATAAATACTCTTAAGCATGAAATTTATATAGACACTTGTGATTTAAGGTAAGAATAGGAATTGGGTGATTTATGCTTATGATTTAAGGTAAAAAAAAGAGAAGGCAATAAAATTCCATCTATGTCATATAGTTATGTCTAAAATATGAATACATTAAAGAAAAGACTAGTAGGAAACATGGCAAATGAAATGGCTGGTTTGTTAGGGTATGGGAATTTTGTATTAAAGATTTAATATTTCTGTTGTTTTTAATATTTGACACAATAAAGCATTTTTAACAAATACATAAAAACCATTCCTGGGAGGGACCCTGTATCAAATTAATGTTCATGAAAATCAGAAATAAAGCCTTAGGCAGATGACTAACATTGTGCTTGCTGGGATGCTGGTTTGCCAGCTCTTCTGGAAGCATCGGTTCCGTCTTTGTCTGATATGCCCTTGTTCCTCATTACCGAGAAACTGAATTACTTAGATAATTGGAGGTGGGGGTGGGAATAGAGCTGTTTTGAGAAAGAACACCCCTTGTTATGTGATTGTTTTTGCTATCACTTCGCAGAACTCAGGAAATGAACAGAGTTGAATACTGAGGGGCACTCCTCCATGAAGTATGTAGGCCTGTGTAACAGAAGACATTTTCCGGAACTGAATATACCGGTCTTCCCTTTTGCTTTGGACACGGCACACAGGAGACATCCAACAAATTGCTGACAGAATGCAAAGGAGCGGAAATTCCATCATGCAGGCGAAACCTGAGGGAGAGCGGAGCGGAGCTCCGGGTCATGCAGAACCCTGAAGTGGGAGGCGGGAGGGGCGATGGGGATGCCAGGAGCCCCGGGGAGGACACCGGGCATCATGCCATCTCCATGGAGATTGTGAGGAGACTCTGGTCAGCAAGAGCTGACTCCCCACTGTCGGAGGTGAAATGCGATGCTCTGGGGTCTTGCTGCACATCTTCACACCCTGCTGACAAAAGGTGGAAGGAGCGGGCCAATAACAACCAATCCACCAAAGAGATGCTGGATTCGTGTAACTCATGTCAGCATATCACATTCTTTTATATACTTATTTACGGCCGCGCAGGGTCCTCCTTCTCGCACGCTGTCTTTCTCCAGTAGCAGCGAGCTGGGCTCTCAGTTTCGGAGCGTGGGCCACACCGCCGGGCTTCTCTTGCAGAGTATGGGCGGGCTGTAGGCGCGCAGGCTTCAGCGGGGGCAGCGCACGGACTTAATTGCCCCACGCAGGTATATGGGATCTTCCCGAACCAGGGATCAAACTCCTGTCCTCTGTGTTGGCAGGCGGATTCTTAATCACTGGACCACCGGAGAAGTCCAGCCTATTACATTCGCTATTGGAGGCTTCCTCAGGCCCAAATGCTGAAGGGACAGGCTCCTGGAAGCACTATTTATCCTTGGATCAAACATTCCTTGGAAGCATTCCTGTGCTTTGCCCGTTTGAATCCACAGCACACCAACAAGGCCAAGGACTTTATTTTCAGTAGCCTTTGCAATTCCTCCTGTTGTGGTTGTTAGTTTGGGGTGTTTTCGGTTTGCCTGGAGCAGATCCGGTTTCCTCATTTGGTAAGCCGGCGAGCCCCACATCATCGCAGCCAGGGCTGCCGGCCACTGCGTCCCCTTGGCTGTGCCCCTGCAGACAGTGCGGTGGCTTCTGACAGAGGCACCGGCTGGGCCGCTTCTCTGTGCCGAGCCTGAGGGCGGCACGGATGCCCACGGGTTGGTCAGGGGCCAGGACGAGCCTTCGGGGGACAATCAGCATATTCTCAGGGCAGTGATACTTGATAAGCTTCCCCTAGAGGCCCTGGTGTGAGTGCTTGGGCGGACCTGGTGTGGGAGGCGCTGGATCAGGAGCCCAGCCCGCAGGGAGGCCCCGCTGCTCTGGCCCTCTCTCCATATGTTTGTTTGTTTGTTTGTTTTGCTATACTTGGTTGCAAATTTAGCTGAAATATATTTATCCCTTGGGTCACTATGAAGTTTCAATTCCATTTGCAAAACATTTTGAGGTTCTCAGAAGAGATGAGAGAGTATTTGTTCGGTCTGGGTAATGAATTAGACTTGGGCTTTCTCTTCTGCTTAGCTAGGAGGCAAGTTATTCTCTTCTTGTAGTGCAGCGAAGTCCCCAAATGCTGACAACGACAGGGTGACCACCTCACCTGCATCCTCGGCTTTCAGTTTATTTCTTAGGACGTTCCCCCTCCCTTGTTTATTTTTGACTTTTTATTTTATATTGGAGTATAGCCAATTAACAACACTGTGATAGTTCCACAGCACAGCAGAGCGAATCCACTGGACGTACACAGGTATCCACTCTCCCCTCACCTCCCCTCCCAGCCAGGCTGCCACATAACATTGAGCAGGGTGTTTCTTAGGATCTTTGATGAGGAAATTTTGGAAAAAAATCAGACAAGAGAACCTCAAAACTTTGTTATTTAAGTTATCTGATGTTTCTTTTGCCAAAGATTTAAAAGATACAAAGATGTCAGAAAACCGTGGGAAATGAAGCTTCTGATGCCAGCTTCAGAAGTGTTCAAAAGAACACTCTTTCTGAGTGGTTTTCAATCATCTGCTGTAATAAATGATTAATTCCCCCATTAAATTACATTAAAGGGATTAAAAATGTTATGACCCTCCTTTTATATCCAATTGTTATGAGTCACTTGTATAATGGTGTGTCATGAGGAAAAAAAATGGACCAGGTAGTTAACATAAACTATGCCTCCAGCAGAAGGTGTGGCTTCCCTAATATCTCAGTTGGTAAAGAATTCGCCTGCAATGTGGAAGACCTGGGTTCCATCCCTGGGTTGGGAAGATTACCTGGAGAAGGGAATGGCTACCCACTCCAGTACTCTGGCCTGGAGAATTCCATGGACTGTATAGTCCATGGGGTTGCAAAGTATCGGACACGACTTTCACTTTCCTGACAATCTTGATTCCGGCTTGTATATCTATCTCCAAATGTCCTCTGTTTATAAGGACACTAATCATACTAGACTAGGGCCCCATTCTAATGCAGGATCCTATCTTAACTCATTACATCCTCAATGGCCCTATTTCCAAACCAGGTCATGTTTTGAGGTTAGAACCTAGAGGGGGTGAAGACTTCAGCATGGGAATTTCAGGGAGACAAGTCCAACTCATAACGTTCATCCTGGTGGGCCTTTCCCTGATGCCTGTCTTGCAGCTCAGGCTGTCCTTCCTGGAAGTTGCAGGTAAGTTGCCATGTCTGTCCGGTTTTTCCATTCGAATCATGAGACTGAAACTCCTCCCTGGTCCTCACACCCCTTGAAGAGAAAGATCACCTTCTGAGGAAGCCTGGGACTAAGGGATCGGCCCCAGAGCTGGTTTGCGTTTGCTTCGTCCTTGTTCTCTTTCCTCCTTCCTTAGGTTACAAGGGTCTTGGCTTGCTCTCCATCCAAATCAGGATGACGGAATCTTAATGTTAGATCCCATAGTCCACCCAGTTTAAAAATCCTCACAAATGACCTTGATGCTTCAGGAAGCAAAGCCTGAAGTCCAATGAATGAATGTCCATTGTGGAACTCGGGGTCCTGGTGATCAAGAAGGATGGTTTGTTGTTCGTTTTATTTTTTGGGGGTGGGGGGAGGCTGGTTATGAGGATTCTGAAGTCACACCTGTGAGGTCAGCTCATCTTGCGGTGGTCATTTTAATGCCTTGCATTTCCATGCCTGCAATTCAAACAGCATCAGCCTTGGAGGCAGAGCTTCTGGAGGAAGGTGGTAGGTAGGCGCCAACCTCAGAACCAGCGCGAAGGCCGAGGTGGAATGGTCCCCTCCCCCACACCCCCAACACACTGATTCTGATACTCTCTGCCCTTGAGGGGAGTCACAGTGTGGGAGCCTGAGCTATGCTGGAAGGAGCCCTGCGGTGAAGTCCTGCCCGGGGAGCTGAGCGCGCCGGGTCATTTAGCCCCTCCTCCTCGGTCAGGAAGGGGTGTTCAAAGCTTCAAGCGATTACTGCCATAGCTGATTAATATCTACCGTATTCGTCACTGTTTTCTATTTGTAGCCCTTGTGCTTTATTCCTGTTTTTATCATCCACTGTTGTTTCTTTTCAGCTTTTAACTGATCATTTTATATGATTTCATTTTCTCTCTTTCTTAGCATATCAGTTATACTTTCTTCTGTTCCTTCTTTCTTCCCCTTCTGACATTCCCATTATGCTATATCTTTCGTAGTTGTCCTTGAATTTTTTTTTAAGTCTTTGTTCTCTGGTTTTAGAGGCTTCTGTTGGTATATCCTCTAGCTCAGGGATTCTTTCCATAGCCATGCCCAGTCTACTAATAAGATCATGGAAGGCACTCTTTTCTGTTAGGAAATTTCTCTAGCATTTCTTTTTGGTTCTTTTCTGGGATTTCCATCTCCCATGGACACTGCCCACATGCTCTTGTGTGCCGTTTACTTTATCCATTAGAACCGTTACGTTCATCATAGTTTGAAACTTCCAGTCTGATTATCCTAACATACCTATCATATCTGATTCTGATATTTGTTCTCTCTCTTCAAATTTGTGGGTTTTTTTTTTTTACATACTTCTTTCTTGATAGCCAGAAATGATGTACTAGATCAAAGGAACTGGTGTTAACAGATTTTTTAATTGTTTTGCCAAACCACACAGCTTGGGAGATCTTAGTTTCTCCCAATCAGGGATCGAACCTGGGGCTCCCTCAGTGAGAGCACTAAGTCCCAACCACTGGACCACCCCAGAGTCCCCTGAAGAGGCTTTAGTGATGTGGGGGTGAGGTGTGGGCAGAGGGGAAGCTATGGTCTCCGGTCCTGCAATTAGGTCTCCATCTTCAGTGAGCTGGTGCCTCTGGACTGAACCTCACATGTTTCTCACTTTTTTCCTCCATCCCTTAAGTGGGTTACGGTGACCAGAGTGGGCCAGGGTATTTCCCTGCCCCAGGTCAGCTGGTCAGGCTCTGGTTAGCTAGTTCCCCATGAAGGCAGTCCTGTTAAGAACAGAAAATTCTGGTGTGTTTCAGAATGGTTCCTTTTTCCCTTCCCCCGGCTGGAAGTAGGAGGAGGCCATTCAACCTCCTGGAGGTAAGACTCATAGTATTGTGGGGACCCCTCCTCTACCCTACATGACTGGGTCCCTCTGGAATTTTTATATTCAAAGTTTCCACACTGAGCCTCCAGCAATTCATCAATTACAGTTAGGCTTCCCTACCAGAGCAAGGATGGGGTATGCAGGTCTGTGCTTACATCCTGGAACAAAGATGCCCAGAGAAGAACTGTGGAAGAATACTCTCTAACCCACCTCATTTACCTGCTTCTCAACCCAATGTGCTTTCCTTTTAATAACTTGTCCCCTAATTTTTAAAGTAATACATAGTCATTGCACAAAACTTCAGAAAGACCAGAAAAGAATATTTTAAATTGCTATGATCCCTCCCTTTACCCAGAATCTCTACTGGTAACATTTCTATATATTTTATACTGATTTTCTCCTGTGTGTCTGTGTAGATAGACAGATGGTAGATAAATGTATAGAGTTGATATTGCAGATTACAGTTTCATATCCTGCTTTTTCCAAGTGCTATTTATCTACCCATGTCACTCTTTTTTAAAAAAATTATTTATTTATTTATTTGGCTGCACCAGATCTTAATTGTGACACAAGAACTCTTACTTAGCACATGAGGTCTAGTTCCCTGACCAGGGATCGAACCTGGGCCCTCTGCATTGGGAGCGTGGATGCTTAGCCACTGGACCACTAGGGAAGCACCTCCCTCGTCACCCTTATGCACCTCATATGCAATGGCTGCTTCATTGTACATTACTTGGATTTTCCATAATTTTATTACCTGGGCCTTGTTTGGAAACTTTAGGTCTGATTTGTAATTTGGGGGCATAAATATTTGATAACGTTTGATTATTTCCTTTGCTTAGTGTTCTAAAAGTGAAATTGCTGGGTTGAAGGGCATGGGCACTTGAAGAGATCTGAAGACTACTAGTTCATTTCAGAGAGTCTGGGCTTCTGTCCTTCCCACATTCCGGAGTGGTCTTTCCCTTCATTACAGCTGCCCAACATCTGACGCTCAGTCGTGGGGGAAGAGGCCACTGTCCTGCTGCGGAGGAGCTGGGGAACTTCCCCATCGCTTTTGCTGCAGTGCACTGATGCCCACCAGCCTACCTGCTCTTTTGTTCAGATGCTGTGTTTTTCCCACTGATGCTGGAGAAGACTGGTTAGCACATGACCAAGGACGCAGAGAAGAGGGCGCCGCCAGAAATCAGTGTTTTTTTTTTCCTGCAAAACAAATCCAATCCATAACAGGAAGGAGTTGGGAAAGAGGAGATGAAATGAACCAAAGTGATTGTTAGCTGCTCACATGTCCTCTCTCTCAACAAATCATGAAATATAAGCTGCAGGAGGCAGACGTAGTATCAGAAGAACCATTAGTTCATGAACCAGGAAACTGAGTGATGTTGGTAGAAACGTTGGCCAGATCAACACCCAGATTAATCCTGAGGCAGCTTCTAGAAAAATCACTGTTTGCAGAGCCCATAGCTGCCCCCGAACGACCTGGGAAACCCTCTGTGGCTCACGCCTCTTCCTAACCCTTGTTTCATTAAAGGCGCTTTTCTTTCTACACCTTTCGGCTGTGCTACCAGGCACACGGGAACTTCAGTCCCTGCTGACTCCAGGGATGGAAGTGCGCTTCCTGCATTAGCAGCATGAAGTCTTAACCATGGGCCACCAAGGAACTCCATCTCATTTAAGTGTTTACTTAATGAGACATTTTAGAAATGTGAAAAGGTGTACCCACAATCCAGCTTGTTAGACAGAACAGAGCCTTTTGCTCAATATTACACCCTCCTCTTCATATCTTCATATTCCTGAGCCCAGAAATAACAATTATTCAAAATTTAGTGTCCATGATCCCCATGTATTTATATTTCACTGTGTATATTTGCATCCCTAAACAAAATATAGCATTTCTTCCGATGTTTTCTTATTTAAAACTTTTATAAGAATTCTGAATGCTTCTTTCTGCAACTTGTTTTTCTCCACATCCTGCCCATGAAACTTGTTCGTGTTGAACATGTAGCTCAAGATCACTCACTTTCACTGCTCTTAATACCCTTTTGTATATATACGCCATTTATCCACTCTCTAAGGATGAATATTTAGGAGGTTTCCAGTTTTTCATTATTAAAAACAATGATGCTACATGTATTCTTATACATAATCTTGTGTACATTTCTTCAGGTTTCTGTTTAGCTGTGGTCAAAAGTACTGCACAGGATTCAGCTCAGTTCAGTCGCTCAGTCGTGTCCGACTCCTTGTGACCCCTTGGACTGCAGCACCCCAGGCCTCCCTGTCCATCACCAACTCCCGGAGTTTACTCAAACTCATGTCCATCGAGTCGGTGATGCCATCCAGCCATCTCATCCTCTGTCGTCCCCTTCTCCTCCTGCCTTCAACCTTTCCCAGCATCAGGGTCTTCTCCAGTGAGTCAGCTCTTCACATCAGGTGGCCAAAGCATTGGACTTTCAGCTTCAGCATCAGTCCTTCCAATGAACACCCAGGACTGATCTCCTTTAGGATGGACTGGTTGGATCTCCTTGCAGTTCAAAGGACTCTCAAGTGTCTTCTCCAACACCACAGTTCAAAAGCACCAGTTCCTCGGCACTCAGCTTTCTTTATGGTCCAGCTCTCGGCACGGCATTAGCTTTTCTAAATTTCCCGTTTGCTCTTCAAGAGAGCTGTGTCTTCTAGTTCCCCTGCCCCATGGCCTCATCAGCTCCACAGTTAATGTGATAGGCTTACTGTGCCTGCCCCTGACCACTATGGTTACTATCTTTGCACGTGGTTATGGGCCACTGGTGCTGCCTTCGTGAGCTGCTTTCTGTTCTCACTTTGATTTCTAGGCTTCTTGCCCCATTTTGAATGTCCCAAACTGGGCGGCATGAGCATACTCAACCCTGTAGTGGAGGAAGGGGGCAGCTTTGGGAAGAGAGGCTGGCTCCTCTGGATGGTGGTAATAAGACCATTCCTCAGCCCTCAGCAGATGGAACCGCCACACAGCTCCCCCCCGGGGTGGTCTGGAGCCCAGGGACATCTCCCGAGGCGTGTGTCCCGGGAGAGACTCCGCAGGGCCACGGCAGTTCAGCTCCCCCAGGGAGTCAGCTCCGGGCTCAGAAAGCAGTTCTAGCTAGTTTCATCCAGACGGAGTGTACTAACAGGGTGCCGACATCGCTCAGAAGGCCAGAGAACCAGCCTTGGACACGGCTTTTTATACTGATACATATATACGTACATACACACATGTATATATGTGCTTAGTCGCTCAGTTGTGTCCAACTCTTTGCAGCACTATGGACTACAGCCCGCCAGGCTCCTCTGTTGGCAAGAGAACTAGAGTGGGTTGCCGTGCCCTCCATATACATATATATATATAGACACAGGTGGACACAGAAGGAATCAGAAAAGAACTTCTATTTTCTAGGTGAAGAATTAGGATCAATTGCCAATAATTAAGAAAAGAGGCAGAATGTTAAAGGCTTGAGAACAGGAGAGGAAGAGATAACGTTAATCAAATTTCAAAGGCTTTGGCTTTTTATTTCTGATTTTTTATATTCTATGATAAAAAATATCCAATTAAAAATCCCTTAAAATGGTTCACCAATGAACAAAAATCAGGTATCATGTGTCATCTTTGAAAAGGACTGCTGGTCTCTGTCAGAGGGCTCCATCAGGTTCTGCAGAACCTCACACAAATCATAATCTATTTACCTTTCTCCAGGAAGGAAAATGATGGCATGGTTAGTACCTGCTTGTTCTAAGCTTAAAGTCTAAATTGTAATACTTATTCTGGCTAACTTTCTAGGAACGAGAAAAGAATTTTTTAGAGCAGCAGTTCCAACCATTTTTGGCACCAAGGACTGGAAGACAAGTTTCCCACAGACTGGGGAAGGGAGATGTGATTTTGGACAGACTCAAGCACATCGTGTTTATTGTGCACTTTATTTCTATTACTATTACATTGTGGCACACAGTGAACCGCTTGCACACCTCACCACAAGGCGGACTCAGTGGGAGCCCCGAGCCGATTCCCTGCAGCTGGACGGCCCCACCCGGGGAGCCGGCGGACAGTGAAGTGTGTCGGCCACGTCCAGTCTCCTCTCTAACATTGTTCCGGTGGCTGTCACTGCAGAAAACGCTGCTTCATAAAGATAGGGTGTTAGAAATGGAAGCAGGCTTTTCTGTGCTTTTGTGGCAACTCAGGATATTCTTGAGGGTCCCTTGGACTGTGAGGAGATCCAGCCAGTCCATCCTAAAGGAAATCAGTCCTGAATATTCATTGGAAGGACTGATGCTGAAGCTGAAACTCCAATACTTTGGCCACCTGATGCGAAGAGCCAACTCACTGGAAAAGACCCTGAAACTGGGAAGGATTAGAGGCGGGAGGAGAAGGGGATGACAGAGGATGAGATGGCTGGATGGCATCACTGACTCAATGGACATGAGTCGGAGTAGGCTCCAGGAGTTGGTGATGGACAGGGAGGCCTGGCATGCTGCAGTCCGTGGGGTCGCAGAGTCGGACACGACTGAGCAACTGAACAACAGGATATTCCACTCTGACTTTAATCCAGCAAGTATGGAGATTTGAAGTTGTTTCAAACTAACCTAACCTCCAGCTGTGTGGCCCAGTTCCTAACAGGCATACCGGTCCATGGTGCAGGATTTGGGAACCCCTGTTCTAGAGCAAAGGGACGGTGCTGACCAGTGGTGATACGTAGTGACATTGGAGGGAAAGAAGGAGCCAGTTTTGCTCTTCTGGAACTGGAATGGTCTCCTCCTGGATGTGTGAAAACCAGGGGCGGTCCTCCCTGCACAGAGCCTGGGATGCTGAGCACCTCCGCACATGCCACCTCCCGACACCGCTGAATTCCGGCCCTGGGCTCCTGGAGCAACGTGGCCATTCCCCTGGCAGGAACTCCTTCCCAGAGGCCAGGGGACAATCTCCTCGGAGCATCCTCCCTGCCCAGTGATTTGATAGCGCGTGGCAGACTTGCAGTGTAATTTGACTTGAACTTTTACTTTCAGCCAGGAGTTTAGCGGAGCCATACATTCTGCCTCTGGGCCCTTTCCCCAGCCTCACACCTCTGATGCCCACTTGCACCAGGTTCGGATGCAACAGAAGCAAGGATCTGACTGTCAATGGTCTGCTCCATTTCATTTAGGATGGTTATGGGCCCTCCCCTCCCTGCGGTCTGATTTCTTTCAGAGCGGATCCAATGTCCTGAGTGAATCTGCTAACTGAGTTAGACACCACTGGAGCATCAGAGGACCTCCCCGGGCTCTGTCTTGAGTCCAGCGGTGAAAGGTGGACTGCAGGGAGGCTGCGCTGGTCGGGAACAGTGAGAGCGGGTGACAGCCAGGCACGCTGACGGTCCTCATCCTCGGGGCGGGGGGCCTCAGACCTGCAGAGCTCAAAGAGCAGGCTCGGGTTGGGGGGTACTGGGGGCTTCTGGGCAGCCCTCTTTCTGGAAGCTCTGACACAGGGCAGGTAGGGCTGGGCTGAGAGGTGTGACTGCAGGTGGCGGGGGGCGGGGAGCATCTCCTTCCGAGGTCTCCTGGGAGGTTCCCCTGTCTGCTTCGTGGGCCAGAGTGGAGACGTGTGGGCTGTGTCTGCGGCAGATGGAGAAGCAGTTGCCGCCTCTGGGACGGGGAGGGTCCCGGCCAGGACACCCGCGGACAGGCCTGGCGCTGCGGGGCCTGCTGAGGACTGGAGCCATCCCCAGGGCCCCGACACAGTCCAGATGGCCCTGCATCTGCGGGCAGAGAGCCAAGCCCTAACGAATTCCTGCACAGACAGACCCCGGATGCCCGCCCGACCACCCAGACCGCCCCCGCAACAGGCCCGCACCACCCCTTACTCCCTGCAAGCGGGCAGGAAGCTCTGGAATAATTCAGGCCCAAATAACTAGGGAAGGCTGGGTCACTCGCGGGGGTAGGGGGTGGGTGGGGGTGCTTCCTTGGGGGCTCAGATGGTAAATAACCTGCCTGCCGATCCCTGGGTGGGGAAGACCCCCGGAGAAGGGAATGGCAGCCCACCCCAGTATTCTTGCTTGGGAAACCCCATGGACAGAGGAGCCTGGTGCACTACAGTTCATGGGGTCACAAAGAGTCAGACACAGCTTAGCGACTAAACAGCAATACATCATATATAGTATAAATACTAATTATATATATGTAGTTTTATTATTATGAAATAACATTCATATTTCATGTCAACACACAAAAAAACCTTGAATATAAAACTTTTCTCTGTCCTTTGGTCTGCTCTCTACCCCCACTGTGAGTCCTGTCCCTGCATTGTAATTTGACCAAACCTCCGATCAGCAGGAACACCTGCTCAACCAGAAAGAGCGACACAACACCCTCCTAGCATTGACAGGTCCTCAAAAGACAATATTCCTTCGTAATCTTGTAAAGGGCCACGGCGACGCTTAGATTTGGGTGTGTAAACTTGCAATGGGCTTCCCAGTGGCTGAGCAGTAAAGAACCTGCCCGCAATGCAGGAGATACCAGTTCAATTCCAGGGTAGGAAGAACCCCTGGAGGAGGAAACGGCAACTCACTCCAGTATTCTTACCTGGAAATCCCATGGACAGAAGAGGCTGGCGGGCTGCAGTCCATGGGGTCGCAGAGGGCTGGACACGACTGAGCGACTGGACAAGGCCAGGTGGAACCAGAGGATGGGTGTGAAGGGGCGCAAGGGCAGCCTGCTTGTTCAGCAGACTTGATGTTTAAATACGAACAGTAAAGCAGGAGTTCCACGTCAGACACCTGCCGTTCACCCAGCACTGTGCTGAGAGGTAACCAGGGGGCGTGCGACGGTGCCATCGCCACCCCACAGCGCGAGGCCACAGTGGAATGGAAGTGCGGGAGGACACACAGGGGGCGGTCCAGTGCCCCTCCAAGAGCTGACTCCTGCAGACAGCAGACTGGCTTCAATCTTTAGGTCAAGACTGGCGGGATTTTACTTCCCTGACCAGGGACCGAAACTCTGACCCCTACCTTGGAAGTGCAGAGTCTTCACCACTGGACCACCAAGGAAGTCTCCAGACTTTTTGCTGCACTGTTGGGCTCTTGCTAAGTTGGGGGCGGGGAGCTAGGTGATCCCAGAGTGGGAACACTGGGAGGCAAAGCTGTAACGAAGGGCAAAGCTGTCCTCATGTAGCTGCCAGGGTCAGCTCTGTCGTGATCAGTCTAAGCCGAGGCCAGGGAAAGGGGCAGGGGAGGGGAAATAGAAATTCTCCAGTTGCTCTGGGCCAGTGCCTCTGGCCCTCAGTAGAAGCAAATTTGAGTCCTCTCTGGATAAAAGCATCCACGTCTTAGGCCCTCAGGAGGCCCCAAGAGATCAATCAACGAGCTCAGAATCAAACACCGTGAAAAATACAAGCAAAACAGCCACCATGAGTGAGAACCAGCACAGAATTAAACTCCCTTCCTTCAGCTCATGAAATTAATCAGACACAGAAATATAAAACGATGATGTAGCCTATGTTAAAGGCTGGACAAAGGAATCACAAAATAAGCAAGCAATATAAGACTATAAAAGAACCAGGAAAGTTATGGGGGAAAAAGTCAACTTGAAAAATTATAAAAGTTAACAAAACACAAGTCAATGTGGAAAAGAGAAAATCAGTATAGCTGAAGGGATCATTTTTTTATCTAACCCTTAAATATGTACTGAATATTTACCCAAGTCATTACTGTTTCAGGTCAGGGGAGTATAGCAGTGAAGAAAACAGACAAAGGTCCTCGCCCAGACAGAGGTTGCAAAGTAGATAACAAGTAAAATACTCTAAAAGCCCTAAGTCTGGGAAAAGAACAGAGAGTGCCGCATGTGGGGAGAGCTGTATTTTGAACAGGAAGGACAGGAAAGTCCTGGAGGGGAGACTGATACTTGGGTGAAGACTGGAGCGAGACGAAGGGTCCACCCGTCAGAATAGAGCTGGTGGCGCTCGGCCACTCAGCTGTGTGACTCTGCGAGCCACGGGCCGTGAACACAGCCCCCCAGGCTCCTCCGTCCATGGGATTCTCCAGGCCACGGCTGGCGTGGGCTGCCATTCCCTTCTCCAGGGGATCTTCCCGACCAGGGATCAAACCCGCGTCTCCTGCATCGGTAGGAGGATTCTTTACCACTGGGCCACGTGGGCAGCCCCACCCATAAAAATACTGGGGAGATGCGCATGCCAGGGAAAGGAAGCACTGGGAGCGGTGGCTCACAGGCCACGGGGCGGGGATGCACTCGATTAACTGACATCCTGGAAAAGAGGTCTGGGCGGGTGAGCGTCCAAGGGCAGGTCCTGGGGCCTCGTGGGAGAGTCAGGGACGAGGCCCGGTGGCACTGAGACCTGAAAGCATATCTGCGGCTGGTGCTTATGGGTTTAAATGTGAACTTAGCTCTAACACGCAGCTGGCAAGGGCTCCTCAGGCTCCCTCCCTCCCAGCTTGTCTGGCATGCCTTCTCGTGTGTCTGGAATCCTGTCCTCCCCTTGTCCTTCACCTTTGACATTTTCCCTGACCATTTCTGTCTGATTTATTTGCACCCTGACCCCTGCTCCCATCTCAGCCTGTATTTACAGACCCGCCTTTGTGTCCTGTTGCCTGTTTCATGCCTTCACCCAGGCGCTCCAGAAGCGTGAGGAGGAGGCACAACCATCAAACGCAACACTCAATATATTGAAATGTCCTCTACAAAAATCCCAGATTATGGCAGGAAAAGGGCTGAACGGTGACTGCAATAAAATCCTTTTGGCTCCGTTACCGGATTTGGCTTGTCTTTAATTTAGGCGCACTGCTGAATGTGCAATCAATATTTTAGTAATTATGTACAAACAGTTCTTGTTATAAATCAAAGTTGTGCTCACTGCCATAAGCTCTGGCTTCGGTAACAAGCCTTTTCTTGAATACCATGCTCTTCTAGTGTGAGTCACTTCACTCGGCTCCCAGGACTTTTCTCCCACAAAGCTGCACACTGGGGCCTGCTGGTCGTGCAGATACTAACTTCCCTGCCCAGCTGGAGTGAATCGTGATCAGCTCGCTTACCCATGGGAGAATCAGGCTTCCTCTCCTGACCGTGGGATTCTAGCCAGAAGGCTGCGCTATTTGGTCCAGGCCAGCACAACCTCCCGCACAAAGCTTTCCAGAGAAGTGTTGGGACTTGAGCTGGTTCTGCGTGAAGGACACTCTGTAACACGCGGCAGGGCAGAGCTGGCCCTTCCTGGTGTGACGGGCCTGGCGTGCCCCATCGCCGCGCCGGCGGTTCGTCAGGCTGCTGCTGGCGGGGGCAGCGCAGTTCGGGGAGGAGGTCACTCCGCGGCAAGGCTGCGCTCGGGTGCCCTCAGCAGTTGGGAGACAGGCGTGTAGACCCACACAGACAGCATCTGGGTGGGGACCCACAGTTGCCAGCTGCACTTTCAGAAGATTCAAAGCGGAACAAGACGGCTTTGCCAACAAGGGGGAAGAAAGCACAAAAATCAGTATTTTTTTTTCTTCTTCTTTTCCCGTGAAGAACTAGGCTTAGTTGCAAACCAAGACAAAGGGGGTCTTTTTATTTTTCAAAGGGGGTCTTTAAGGAGTGCTGTCCTATGACAAGGCAGTTTACACGGAGCCCAAGGTTTCCATGAAGGTTCTTCCCTGTCACCGTCGAATGGCTCCGTTTTTTTCTAAGCTTGTCCAAAGCACGAGACAAGATCTACTTTTCCACCTTCAGCACGGATCCCCGTCTCTGCATTTGCCGGCCTCTCCCCGCCAGCATCTGCACAGCCCTCGGGTTGGGACAGGAGTCCACAGTGCAGCCCCAGGTCGCCGTAAACACCCCCATTTCCAGCCATGGTGATTTACATTCCACACGCCAATCCTGGGCGGGCAAGAAGAGCAGGCGTGGTCGTGACCGAGGGCAACTCCAGAGCAGAAAAGCTCCCCGGCGGCCCGCCCCGGGAGTCAGGGAGTCATCCCCGCGTCCATCTCCTGACCGGAGCGCCGCCGCCACACGCAGCTTCCGTCTGACTCACAGTCAAGGGCGAGAACCGCTGCTCTCCTTCCCACGTGCTCCCCACCCTGCGCCTGCTCTGATCGGCCACAAAGCCTTCGTGTGCGGCCCAGCACACACGTTCTGGGGGCTCATATCTACTCTTTTTCCTTAATGCTTCTTTAATGGCAGGAAAAGTCACACAATACAAAACGTGCTCTTTTAACCACATTTGAGTGTGCAAGTTAGGGGCCCTAAGCACACTCACACTGTTGTGCAAATCTCGCCATCGTCCTTCTCCCGAACGTCTCACCTTCCGAGACTGAACTCTGTCCCCACGAAGCACTGACTCTCCACTCCCGCCCCAGCCCGCATCCCTGGCGTCTACCAGTGTACTTTCTGACTCTGTGACTTTGACTGCTTGGGGTACCTCGTACAAGTGGAATCAAACAGTGTTTGTCTGCACCAGATGTGTACTGGAATGAATTTTTAGGGTTACCATACGTCCTACAAACAGATTGTGCATGTGCTCACTCAGTCATGTCTGACTCTTTGCGACCCCAGGGACCGCAGCCCGCCAGGCCCCTCTGTCCATGGGATTCTCCAGGCGAGAACACTGGAGTGGTTGCCATTTCCTCCTCCAGGGG